AACAGAACAAGCTCTGTCCTCTCTTTTGGCCAGAAGTGCTGATCCATAGGCTTCAACATAGTTACCAGCTCACTATCGGGAAGACGCCTGGTGAGATTATCAATGATTGACTGGTAAAATTGGGACTTCTTTACTTTAGGTTGAGTTTCTCTAATATCAACCCCTTTGAACTGGCCGCTTGTTATGCCCGCTTTGACTTTTAGTTCAGTTTTCCCATCGTTGTCCTTCGTGGCAGAGAGCACCTCGATCGTCTGATGTATGTAGCGGCTTGCATCAACCAGGGACGTGTCGCGTTTCTGTAGTTTCAGAGAGAGACTTTGTAGTTCACGTAACACGTCTTTCATTGTCGCTAAATCAGTGAGGAATCCAGTGGATGTCAGATGCTTTAGTAAACCAGCGTACTTGGCTTTCTCTGCACCAGAACGTGAGCCATCTTCACTCGCAGATTTAAAGTGATGTGCTAACACTGGGAAGTCCTTCAGCACAGCTTTGACAGTGTTGTAACTGCTGGAAACCCATCTAATTGTAAAGACTTGTCCGATTTTCAGAATCTGCATGTTCAGTTCCGCAGCCGCTTCCTCTAACTCCCTGGCGTTTTTCGTGGACTGGTGGTAAAGAGAATAGAGTTTAGCGAGGAAAAACTCTAAATGATTACAGCCTGCCACAGCCTTCAATGAATCATTCACCGCTAATTCCAAACGATGAGCTAGACAATGAACTGCCTGAAGACGAGGGAAATCCTTTTTCAGCCTGGCTATGAGTCCAGTCTGTCTCCCGGTTAGCACGGCAGCACCGTCTGTGGCTATGCTAATTAGGTTTTTACGAAGAAACTCTTCATCCATTCCCCCCCGCCTGGAGGCTGTTTTTCAGTGCGCTACACAGCGACTCTGCATCAGTGCCCTGGTCCAGTTCAACAATGTCAAAATACACATTGTCCAATTCTCCATTCCCAGTGACATCGCACCTGACATAAATAATCATGTATGCGCGTCCATGAATTGTGCTTTCGTCTAGTGTTAGACTAATACGGGAATCAAGTGATTTGATATTAGAAATAAATGTCTTTTTCATCTCTTGTGCAATGTGCTCTACAATCTGGGCACATGAATGATCGGATCTGTGAGCAGGGCCGACTGTCGCACCATTCATTTCATTAAGTTGCATAATGGGATTCAATTTTGTATAAGGCAACCTTTCTTTAGCGACAGTATAGGCTGCCCTGAACGAACTAGCTGTCTCATTAAACATGCTGGAGCTGAGTTCTGCAACTTTCTTCGGAAGCACTTCTTTTAGTTTGAGCTCCGCTATTTCAACAGCTCGTTTATGAGCAATAGAGTCGCGGTGTATGTACATTTTTTTTCGCAACTGCTTCTGCACAGGGCTACTCACAGTCCCATTGATCCAGGCATCCGCCAAATGCGTTCCATATTTTTTCTCCGAAAGTAAGAGAGTCTTGGTTTCCTTACAGACGAGGCATCCAAGACCACCCTCCTTTGAAAACAGCCAGGGGTTTCTTTCTTTCCAGGATCTCCACTGATTGTGTCCCCAGTTAAGTGGCGGTCCTTCTGTAGCAGTACCTCCTGCCTCCTCATACCGCTCTGCTTCGGAACTTTCTACGTGTGTGCTGGTGGTCCCACATTCAACAGCATCAGGTCCGCTAGCAAAGACAGCATCCTCCGTAGCAGCAAGGTTAGTACTAGTTGTCACGCTAGCAGGTGCATTTTGGTTGTCAAAAGCTGTTTTTTGTTTCTTTGTGAGAAAACCAAAACTAGCCAGGCTTGTAGACCCCGTCGGCGGCAGTGGCCTTTTTTTGGGCGGCATGCTAATCGTCTGCTAGCCTACGGTACTCATAGTATGTATGTGTGTATCCTGTCAATATATTTGAATGTCTGTTGATATAACGGTTCATTCTTCGGGCGCGCGCAGCACGTTCACAGCCTCACAGGCATAGATTGCGCAATATTTTATTGCGCACCTTAGAGGTGAAGTGCAGGCATATTGTCATTCAAGAGAGAATACGATGCGTAGTTCTTTTGGAAAACGTTGTTTTGTTTGCCTATTTACCTCGTTAACGTAAATAATACTCATTACATTGAAAAATGCATTATTTGTGATCAAAATAATGGTTGTTGGTAATGTATATTAGCGACCCCCACAGATGTTAAATTTACTGGGTCCGTGGGAGCTCAGGCCCCTCCTTATGGGAGCTCAGCTCCCATTGGCTCCCACGTAACTCGAACCCTGGTTGTAAGACTAAATCTTCCTAAAAATGAAAGATGAATTCTCTGTGTGTGGCCAAGTGCACTTCAGTCCTCTTTGAAACGCTGAGAAGGCAGGACTGTTGCTGATGTCACATTTTCTTTGCTTTAGTTTTGACAAGTGTCGCAATTTTTTTCTGGGTGGGATAAGATGGAGGGACGGTCGGTGCAGGGTCGCTGGTTATAGACGACAAGGAGAAGTACATAGTAAATACATAAAGGGGGTAGGAAGGTGACAGAGTTAGCATGGCGGCCGTGCTAAGCCTGGGGGAAGCAAATAGCCCGGCAGTCGCCTCCTCTGCCTACCTGCCTGC